GCCAATGGAAAGAGACAGCGTGGGGGGGGCTCCTCTCAGCAATGGGAACAATGAGGGCAGGCCTCTCCTCTCAGCCAATGGGGTAACCACAGGGCAGGAGTCCCCTCACTCTCTCAGCCAATGGGGAAAAGACAATGTGAGGGGAAACCACTCAGCCAATGGGAAAAAGATATGGAGCAGCCATGGGAGGAGGAAGACCAGCTACAGGCAGAGGCCCCTCCCTCTCAGCCAGCAGGGAGAGACAGCTGCGGGCAGGAGGTCCCTTCTCTCAGGCCAATGGGGAAGACAGCACTTTGAGCACATATTAGGGTGGGCCTGGGTGCTCCCTCTGCTTTGTCGCTGACCTTGCAGCCACATCCTCAGCACCTGGGCTGGGTCCCTGTCATATGCGGGGAAGCGAGGTCTCCATGGTACGTGTCTGCCCTGACCTGTGGTTTGCTTGAGCCCACGGATCCCATGTCAGCTATTTCTCTGGAATGAAAAGCCAGCAAACCTGGAAGCAGATTATAAAATCTAAAATGAGAGGAGCCTGCTCCATGTTGTCTTTTCCCATTGGCTGAGAGAAGGGGCCTCCAGTGATCTATCTGGCGCTTTCCACTGTGCCACCTTGGGAAAAGCACTCGGTCTCTCTGGCCCTTGCTCCTTCCTTTGTGAAGTGATGGGGTTAGACCATCAGGAGTTCTGTGCCCACCCGGCCATGCCCTCCTGTCAGACCTGCTGGTTGACGATCGCTGAGTTCACGTGGGCTTCCAGATCCTTCTCAACACGGTGTCCAAACATTGCCAGCCAGATCAGTTGCACCAAACAGGAAGGTCTTTGGGGCGTCTGTGTGACTCAGTCGGTTTAAGACCCCGACTCTGGATTTCAGCTCAGGTCATGATCTCACAGTTCGTGGGATTGAGTTCTGCGTCGGACTCTGCTGACAGCGTGGCCTGCTTGGGATTCTCTCTCTGCCTCTCTCTCTCTCTCTCTCAAAATAAATGAACATTTCTAAGAGGAAGGTCTTTGATGCCCCGGATGAAATCATCCCAAAAGCCCCTTCAGAAGTGCATGTTCTAGTTCATCATTTCTAATAAGGGCCCCAAACCGTGGCTCCTCATCCTCCGTGCTTCCGTCCTCACAGTCTGGCGGGTCTTGGAGTTTGGGTGTCCGTCTCTTGCCTCTTCCGAGTGGACGTGGGGGGCGCTTCACAGCCCCTGACGCCCTCCCTCCCTGCCACCCGCCCCAGCCCCACTGGCTCATGCACCGCAGCCCGGGCCTCTGCAGGGCACAGGCTCAGCTGGCCCGTCCTCGCGGTGAAACGGCGCGGCGCTCACCCTCGCGTCCCTCTGCCCCCCCCACCCCCACCCCGTGCACCCACTGGCGTTGGCAGCAGGGTGACCGCTCAGAGATATTTGTTGATGTTTTCAAATAAAAAACAGATCTGGCCTCATGCCCATTAGGATGCTCTACTATCAGAAAAAACGATCAGAAAAACAAAACAGCCAGTGCTGGTGACCATGTGAAGACATGGCACTGGGGGTGAGAATATAAAATAGGGCAGCCACTATGGAAAACAGCAGGGAGGCTCTTCAACAGGTTCAAAAATCAAAATTACAAGTTGATTTTTCAAGACAACTAAAAATGGATCCAACAAGTCCACTTCTGGGTATACAGCCAAAGGAAGTGAAGGTTGGGTCTCGAAGGGATATTTGCACACCGATGCTCACCATGGCCATGAGGTGGAAACAACCCCAGCGTCTACCAAACACATGAGGGAATTAAATCCTGGCGCGGACAGACAGACTGAGGGGCACGTTTGGACATTAAGGGACAGACTGGCCAGTGGGGACAAACAGTTCAGCAAACCTTTCAGGCGCAAAGGGTAGGAATTGGATGGTTTGAGACGGGCCTTGGCACAGGTAAACAAGGGGACGTCCGTGAGTCAGATCTCAGTCCCGTGGGAAGGCTGGCGCTTTGCGGTAAGCCGGTGTTCCAGAACACAATCCTTGCCACTCTCCAGGGGCACGGGGCTCAGGTAAAATTCAACACGCTGGCTCGAATGGGACAGAAGCCAGACGCGCGATGGAGACGTGCCGTCTGTGTTATCCTGGCGTGGAGTGGACCCTCTATAGCACTCGCTGAACGAATGCACGAAGGGACGCATTGCATGACTTCGTAGCAGGGAGCAGCCACTAAGCGCTGGGGTGGCCTGAGAAGGCATCCCAGAGAAGGGGGCATCTGAAGGGCTCAAGGAGAAGACGGTCCTCTTACTCATCATGACAGCAAAGCAGTTACAAGGGACGGGAAGACGAGAGAACCAGTGTTTGCCGGGTGCGCGTGATGCACGAGGCCCTAGCCAGTTCCACAGGGGAGACAGAAAGCTTTCTAGTTCCTTCAGGCAGAGAAGGGTTAGGACAAGGAATTAACTGCTTACAAAGTTGTTGGAAGATGGGGGAGCTCGAATGTCTGGCCCTGCTCCGGGGCCACCTCTCCCGCTCTCCCG